AAAAAAAAAAAAAAAAAAAAAAAAAAAAAAAAAAAAAAAAAAAAAAAAAAAAAAAAAAAAAGTCTGAGACTTCTCTCTGTTGGTCTCTCCTGGGGAAGTTAATGCCCAGACTTCACTCACCCCTACAGACTGTGCCTTCTGTGTCAGGTGAAGGATGCTGAATGTCCCATTTCTTCAGACTGACTTTCTGATCTTCCAGACTTTGAAAGGTTGTATCAAATTCATTATTTGAAAAGTTATCTTCTCAAGTTCCTGGTATTCTCTGATGGCTCAGAACTCATACACCTTTGCACAAATAGTTATGAAAGCCCTTTACATTTGATAAGAAGCAGGCCCAGTGCAAGCCCATATGGGAAAAAGTGCCATGTAATTCAATAGTATATAAAGTGGCCTCCCATGGTGACAGAAGGTGTCATTCAAGGCCACAGGGGGAGTGTCACTCATATGTGTGCACACTCAGTTCAGTCCTGTGCACATCCTACACTTATGAATGCATACCAACAATTTTCCTCTTGAAGTCACGTACACAACATTCAGAATGGTTATGCAGGAGAAATCCATGGCAACGGCACATACAGAGCTTGTAGATTTTATGTGGAAAAAAAAAGTTTACCTTATTTAAAGTTTCAACTTTTTAAAAGTTATCATTCTTGAGATTTACTTGATTCAAACTTGAGAAAATAGTGCTGCAGAATTATTTCTGAGCAATAGCTTATCTTAAGGTTTTTCGAATAACCTAAGGACTCTTCAGTCTTCCTTTTAGAAACCTTCGAGGTATTTTTCTGTGCTGTGTACATTTTCATCCACAGGAATATTTTTTTCTCACTCCCTTGGATTCCTTGGGACACTTTTTTTTTTTTCTTTTTTGTCTGCAGATACCTTAGAGGACTGTTTAAGACCCTATCCACTCTATCTATTCTTAGCTTCACCTGAAGGGCAAAATCCCTAAGATCTTGACACACATACTGATAAATACATGGAATTATTAAAGGTGCCATCTCAGCAGAAGAGGATTGCTGCTGCCTTTGTTCTCAGGGGAATACATATTTCACCCAGTAGCAAGACACCCAACTGCTGCTACAATCAGAAATCTCTGAAATGCCTTTAAGCTAATCATCTTTGAACATAAGCCTTTGTTGTTGAATCAGGGACCTTCTAGATGCAAGGCACAGAAACCTTTTTTTTATTATTATTATTTTGTTTTTTTCTCCACCTTGCACAAAACAGCATCAAGCCTGTCACCACCAACAGTAAGGTTCAGTGATCTGTCAACATTCACCCCGATGAAGACAGTGAGAGAAATCTGTAGCTCTGGAGAGTTCAGGAGAGAATCAAACAGTGTGTTTGCAAAAGAGCATTTTTATATGTTTTCTTGTGACAGCACTAGTTTAACAGAAAATAGTTGGAGTGTGCCAAAAAGGGGGAAAAAAATGAAAGACAGTAGTAGTAAGTTAGGCTAGCATGACATGATGGATCTGGGCTATGACAAACCGAATTGGAACAAAGCTTCCCTGGGGACCAACTATACCAGGTTTGCTGAATTGTATTTCTTGATTTCTTACTGTGCAACAGTGCTTTTACTGTTAGATTGACTAGGCTTCAGAATATTTTTAAAATTGTACAAATCAAAATCCATGTAGCTTAAAAATGAAGGATGTAAAAGGTTTAGGAGTTTGATGTATTGAGAGGCATTCTGTATTCCCTCATGTGAGTATTAAGTATACACTTTGTCTGTTTGATGAATTTCAAATCTTTGTGGAAGGCAGTACACACGATAGCAGTTTACAGGGTGGAAAACCCTGGTTGGAAAGCAGGGCACAGGCTGGAGAGATTCAAAGCTTCTTTCTGCTTATCCCACCCAAATGTGCCCAGGAATTACAATATGCAGCATCTGTAGGTTCTCACTTGTTCTGAGATGTTTATGAAAAGGATAAGTAGAGAAACCTTAAATCTGGTGCCCTCTTAACAAAGGTGTGATGCATTATTCTTATTATTTGTCCTTTCACTTCTTGTATAGTGGCTTTCACATTGTCTAAGGTGAAGCCAAAAGAAAAAAAAATAGGAAGGAGAATTATTTCACAGCTGCTAAATTTTCCTAGTTTTCATATACCATGTGAAACCCAACATTAGATAATCTGATTCTTTATAGTAATTATTCATAATAAACTTTGAATTAATATCTAAATGAATGGACTTTCTTAGATACCCAGGCAAGTTTAGGAACTCAAGCTGCAAAGGCATAAACAATTGAGTCCCTATCTTCAAGGAGTTTACAAGCAATTTGAATAATTAATGAAACTTTCAGAATGTAATGTGATAACTACCAAGAGACAGCCAAGCTCAAAGCAGATAGCAAACTATCTAGTGGGCTTGATCAACACAACTCCATGACTTTCCCAATAGCTATTTATGATTAGCAGAAGGGTAGAGAAAAGGGATGTTGAAAGTGTGGTGATTGACGTTTAGTAAAACAGATCTAAGTGTTGAGGAATGAGAGCTAAATGATAAGACATAAGTTCAGAACACATCTTTGACATATCGAAGTGGTCCAAGATGCTAAAATCAGTTTATCTTCTGCCAAAATAAGTAAAATCACACTCTTACTTTTGTGTTTTAATTGGAATGGGCTGATTGGAATTCAAGTTAATGAAGTGTGACCCTTGCCCCTCTGAGTCTGCCATTTTATCATTGCCTACCTTCCTTCGCTTCACCAAGGCTGGAGCTGAGACTAGCACTGAAAAGTAGATTCTTGGTAAAGGATTCCAGTATCTTTAAGAGTAGTACCCAGACATTGGACAAATTTAAATACATACTCAGTTACATAAACACAGCATATTTCAAATTTTTAGAATAAAAGTATTTTAGAAACTGGAAAGTTTTAAAACACTTTTGAAAAGTTGTAGCTACCTTTAACAGAATGGCTATTTCACAGTGGTGATATTTGACAACTACAGCCAAGTACCCCAGATTTATATTAATCATGATGAGTATAAATAATAGTGGGCATTTCTGTCCTATAAGCACATCCTATTCTTACTTTAAAATACAATACCTTGAGTTTTGCAGTGATTTATCAATTTCATTAGCCATTTTGCGGTGACTATTAGCTACCAGCTAATAACAGAATATTATAAAATGAGAAAGTTAAGGTAAGTTTTAAATGTAACAGTTTTTATATAAGTGTTGCTGCTGTTTTTTTAATTATTTATAAATGTATTTTTTTCAATATATAATGCAGGAAGATGCCAATATTACTCAATTATTTTGATCCATTTACGCCTTGAACTAAGGAAATAATTGGTATGCCACTCCTAATATTCATTTACTCTAAGATTTGTATCCTCTTTGGTTTGGTTTTATTTATGTGTTAATATTCATAGTTCAAAACTTGTTAGTAGCAACACTAATAATGTCATTTATATACTTCACCTTGTCCATTTAAAATGGATTATTCTATTTATAGAGTAACAGCCTGTAAAATTAAATTAAATTTTTTAATAGAAAAGATAGTCCTTTTAAAAATTATTATAGTAGAAAGGTTGATTTTTTTTCATAAATCACTTTCAAAGCAATTTTTTAAGAAAATCTTTTTTTAGTTCCAAAACTTTAAAATAGTCTTATTGATTTTTAAAAATAATTATTTATGTAAAATAATTTATGGCAGAGTTTTCTGTACTTGAAAATATATTCTTATAATAAGAATTTTACAAGATCATTAATTTTAGCAGTGCTAGGGAACACAACTATAATTTAGAAGCTATTGTTGAATGTTCTAAAATATATATTGGCCCCATTAGTTTTAAGTGATAACGTTACTAAGCCAAAATATTAATCCAACAGTACCAGAATTACTGATTACAATCAGTTTTCTGCAAAGTTTTCCTTTAGCATTTAGCTTTCACTTAGCTTATCATTCATAAATATAAATGTAAAATTTAAATTATCTTAGAATTCTCAGTTTTAAACTTATTATAGAATTAGTGCCTATGAAAGCTTGAGTGCCTAAAGTCTTTTATTATAGTCCCTTTGGTATGTATTTGGGGTCGGTTGTATTGATACCATTCTCTTGGACACTGTTTTATTAATCAAGAAGGCACCCAATGGTCCAGATAATCTTCACCACTCAATAATCATTCACAGTCATTTATTCATCAAGCAATGTTCTAGAGGAGAGAAGTCATCATCCTCATCACCAGCAACTAACATTTATTGGGTTCTCATACATGTCAGGTGTGCTTCTACACTCTTAACATGCATTGACCTATTTAGTCCTCACAGCAAAGTATTTTTGAAAATGATTTTGTGAAGTTTGTTAGCTGCATTTATAACTGTTAAATATTTAGACACATGGCCTGTATATCTTCATTTATATTCTTCTCTTGAAACCCACTGATGTTAAAGTCTACCCCAAAATATATCCATTTCATAGAAGAGCGTGATTTTATTTATTTTGGCAGAGGATAGGTTAAACTGATTTTGGCGTCTTTGACCACTTCGATGTGTCAAAGATGTCAGGGTTTGTTAATAATGCATAATTTACTAAGCACCTGAAGAAAAGCAGAGACTAAAAGTTTCTTCTATAAAGGTCTTCAGGCTAGGTTTTCTGAGAGGGAGAGAATGGAAAGTAATATGAATATATATGTGTTGCAGCTATTAAGTGTCAAAAAGATAATGTGGTCATGGGCTATTCATATTCAAATCCAAGTTTAGGTATTCCTATTTCTTTCTTTCTTTTCTTTTTTTTTTTTTTTTGCCTATTCAGTTTGAAAATTCTATACTTAAGGCAGAGACAACAGCAAAGTCAAGGATAAGTATTTGGATTACTCTGTAAGTTCATTTGACAAAAATTCATTAAAGTTCTGGAAATATAACTCAATGGTAAATTAGTCTTATTCAATTTCTTTACGTAAAACTCTTCTGGTATTTGTCATGATGATAAATGATCATCTCCTCCAAGCCCCTCCTTTCCCCATAACTGAATCCTACCCAATAAGCACCTTAAAGGTTCTAAGACAGTCTCTGCTGTTATTCTTACATACTCTGGAACCCACAACACTTAAGTTTATGAGTCGTTTGAACCACCAAGCTATTATGCAAGCTTTTAACACAATGCTCTTGGAATATAAGCACCAGGTAAACAAGAAAATATTGCCACAGGCATTTACTTGATGCTTCTGACATTTTGATATTTAACAGATTGATAATTACATTTTGTAAGATGGGTAGACGTCTCTCCAAACATATCAGTTAGGATAATACTAGCTGCTATAACAAACCCCAAAATAGATAATAGTTTAAACAAAATATAATTTTATTTTGCACGCATGTAAAGTTCAGCATGGGCATTGTTGATTGGCAGGCTGCTTTCCTGCAGCCATTAAATCAGGAACGCTGACTCTTCCCATGTGATGGATCCAGTGCCTTCAACATGTGGCTTCTAAGGTCACTGTTTCTCCACATCAAGCCAGTGGAAAAGGAATGAAGAGGAGAAGGGGCCTACTTAGACTGGAAGTGACACACATCACTTCTGCTTATGTCTTACGATGAAGTGTAGTCTTTGGAGGACAACCACATCCCACAATAATTGTGTACTATGGAACGAAGACCACACATATTTGATTGATAACATCCTCTGCCAAAGGCAATCCAAAATCCAAAAATGTCAATGATTAGTCCAAAGAAGTGCCTGGAAGATTCAGGTTCTCTAACATCCAGCCTAAAGTTCTTGTTACTAGATCACTGTTTTCCAGCTAGTGGGACTCTGTCTGCAAACAGTTCACCTCTATTTGGAGAGAAAGCAGAGGAAAATTTAATTGAATACTCAGCTAATGAGAAGAAATATAATCATAACAAAATAATAGCCAGTGTTTTATTGAACATTCAATATTTCTGAGGCATTCTGCTAGGCAATTGATATAGGTTAGTTTGGTTAATACTCAGGGTGATGCTAAAGAAAATTATTAGCCCCATTTTACAGTTGATGAAACTAAGGCATACATGCGAGAATATTTCCCAAAGCCATGTGGTAAGCATCCATTAAAATCTGGATTCAAATCTGGGTAGTCTAATTCCATCAGATGATGTTATCTTCCATCAAAGATAGAAAAATGCCATTTGAAAACAAAGAGGAAAGTGGAGAGAAAAAGTTTCTTTCTGAAATAAACTTTCTCTAATTAGACTTGGCTTAAGTTGCACAGTGTGTAATTCTGTATAACTCACTCCCCTCCTGTAGATTTGAGAGCCTCTGTTCTTTTCCCTATGGTTTCCTACCTGTCCAGGTCCTGTGGGCTCAGAAGAGGGAAAAGTTTAAACATGGTCTCTTATCCCAAGGAATTTAGATTCTGTTGAGGAGAAAAGAGATCCTAAAATGGGAGGAAAGAACAGTCAAGATTGAAGGACAAACAAAAGGCAGACAATAAGATTTCAGTAAAGGCTATAATTACTATACATAAATTACCAAGAAAGGATCCATAAAGGATGTTCTTCCTTAGTTGGTCCTTAATAAATGGGTAGGCTTTCATGAATAGAGAGGTATAGAGAATGTCAGAGGAAAAGAATGCTGGGAACAAAGTTTTGGGTGGATAAAGACACTGTGTTTGTAGCAGCCTGGCTGTAATAACAAGCAATTTTAGGAATTAGTGAGAGTTATATCTTTATCCATTTTTACTTCAGAACTTATTTTTTTGCATATATTTTTAATTCTATGTAACCATCTGGTAATGCCTGGCACTCTATGATTTGTTGCAGTAGTAGTGTTTATCTAAGGAACTACGTTATGTAGGCACAGGAAAATGAATGCTGAGTTCTGGGAACAAAGGCTGGGGAGGGATTTCCAAACAAATGTCACCTTCTACTCATTTCAACAAGTGCGATAGTTAAGAAATCTGCCTCACTGTCATCACATTTCTGGGCCTCTAGGACTTGTTACAGAGGACCTAACCAAGACCTTGGTATTCAGGCTGTCCTGTCTAACTATATTTAGAGTAACTGACCATCCATACATACCTATATCACTTCCCATCTCTGCTTTCTCATGCAGAGAATATTCTACCCCTCCTTCAAATCAAGGGATGAGCCCCTAGAGGACAGCCAGTGAGTTCTGAATTCTCTGAGGAGCCACCCCTGACTACGACTGCCCCTCTCTGTCAATCACAGAGCACTTCCAGTGACATCATGGCTGTTTTCAGTATTATGTTGTTGCTGTAGGCAGCATGAAATTGACAAGGAATGGCACAGAGAAGAGCTGAAAGGGCACTTCTGCTTTTGTGATGCATCTGACACCTGTAGTTACAAGAAAGAAAACAGCTTTCATCAGCATATTGCTGGGTGATTTAGAAGGTGAATGAGTATTTAGAAATGTTTTTTTTAATGTAATAGCAGAATAGAATCTAAACTGCTACTCTGTACTTGCACCCTAAGAATATCTTCCTAAGTGGAAGAAATCCGGTCAGGTATTTTCTCAGAAATCTTTGGATAAAAAGTTGGACTTCAGTGAAAACCCAATCTAGATCTCAGAGCTTTTTGGTCTATGAGATGGGGGTCTTACCAGCTCTGAATTTAATGGAATATACCTTTTCTTTAAACTAGATCTTAATATTTTTTTAAACTTTAGGTATAGGGGTACATGCGAAGGTTTGCTGCATAGGTAAACATGTGTTATGGGGATTTGTTGTACATACTACTATTTCATCACCCAGGTATGAAGCCCAGTACCCAATATTTTTCCTGATCTTCTCCCTTTTCCTACCCTCTCCCTTCAAGTAGACCCCAGTGTCTCTTGTTTCCTTCTTCGTGTTCATAAGTTCTTACCATTTAGCTCCCACTTGTGAGAACATGAAGTATTTGGTTTTCTGTTCCTGAGTTAGTTTGCTAAGGATAATAGCAGAATATGCCTTTTGTTCTTAGGTTATATGCTTATTTGTATTTCTTCTATCCAAGTAATCATATTATAGACTGAAAAACTAGTGTCCAAAGTGAAACAGAAAGAAGATACCCTCGTCTCTTCTTGGGGGAGCTTTTCCTATGGGTGAACAAACAAATCGACCTAAATTCAAGTTGTTATTACTGTAATATTCAGAGCAACTCTGACAAGCCATAGCAAATGAGGGGATGTAAGCCTAAATAAAGTCAGTTGTTTTGATAACTGAAGTAGTTTTAACACTAAGTGGACAGATTACAAAAATGGGAAGCAATTGATTGTACTATGCTGAGACATCACAAGTTTGTAAACCATCCATAATGCATTGAACTTGAGCAAGGTACTGAGTCTACAGTATTCTGTGGGCGAACATGTTTGACTCTGCACCTTCCTGTAGAAGCCCAGTGTGAGTGTCATCTTGATAATGCTCTGCTGGGTGACTTTGACACTGCCATCCTGATATTTTACCTGTTGCCTGGCCATGATTTCTTCCCTATTCTCCTTTGCCCTCTTTGTGTGGAAAAACCTTTTAGTCTTTAGAAGCAAATCAAAGCCATTTTCAGGTGACACTGGTGATCCTCTCTCTCACGAGTATTTCCTTCTATTTCAGGTTTATTATGGTGAATGCAAGGAAAGCTACTGTCAGTCTTACTCACAAGCACTGTTTTGAATACATTATCTCATTTAATCTTGGTAACAAATGTGCTACGTGATCTTTCTTCTACCTTTAGCTCAGCCCATTCCTCTACATTCCTATGTCATTTTGTAGACTTACTATTTTAATTCTTAAATTATACTGCCCTGGGTTCATAGATATCATTCTCTCTAGTAGGAACCTCTTACGCATCTTTTTATTCCCTGGCATGTATTTGTCTATTAATTGCAAGACCAGGTAGATAACTAGAGTTGATTTCTCTCCATCATTCCCCTTCTGGCTCCAGATCACGTCAAGTTCTCAGATGTCTTATCTACTTATGTTTTGCTAAACAGATATTAGTACTTCAGTACCCACTATGATCCCCATGTGGAAAAATTGGTAAAAAAGGTAATGTTAGGATTACACCTAAAATTGATGTAATCCCTGGTTAGCATCTCATAATACTGAAACTCTTTATTATCCTCTCAGTATACCATGGTATTGACAGCACTTTGTTTTACCTTATCATTATAACATCATCTGTAAGAATTTCCACTTGTGTCATTAAAAGATGATTATGACAGCTTCACTAAGCCTCATTCATGTGAATGGAAAATTAGTGCCATAAAGAAAATTCCTAATAATTATTTTCCGGGACGTGTTGGTACTTTTCAAACTTAAACTCATTAAATCGATTTGAATCTCATTTGAGCAAATCCACACAAACTGAGTGTCTTATTAATGTCAGTCTCATACTACTTTTAGGAAAAGATTTAATCAGAAAATATGTTAATAAAATCCACACGCATGGTTTTAATCTCCTCACATATATGGCAATAGTGTCTATGGATCTCAATATTTCGGAAGTGATTATCACAATAACTTACAAATTATTGAATTAAATTGAATTTAATAATTATCAAAGTAATTCAAATAATAAATAGTACACCAGACACTGTGGTAGTTGATTTATATTTATTATCTTATTTACCATGAGAATTTTTGTCCCAACTTTATAGATGTCATAAGTGAAGGTCAGAGAAAAGTGACTTGCTCTGGGTTACATAATGTGTGTGTAGCAAGAACCTTTTTGGGACATACTTCTGATGGACTCTAAAATCCTTATTCTTTTAACCTTGCCACACTGTCCCATATTGATTCATATTTCCAGCACTGGATCCTTCCTTCTATTGTTTTTCCAATGGAAAAAAGAATATGAATAAACAAGAATATGACTCTGATATAAAAGCAAGCACTGAGTTTTCTTAAGTTCTTGTTCAAGATCTAATAATGAAGAAGGATTAAACTTTATTTGTTCAACTTATCCATTATAAAGCATACTTGAACAAATACATATTTCAATAATTAAAATAGGCATGCAAAATGCTTTATGTAAGCCTAAAGAGACAGTCAAACCTCACCACCCTGAAAATTTGTTTGGGTTCTATTTTTTCAGTGAGTCAGATTTTCCTTTTTAAGCATCAAGAGGTAGTAGCCAACATTTTGGATGGAAATCCTCTAAATATTTACCACACTTTCTCATACCTTGTCTGTATCTAATTTAATATAATGCTCTGTTGACAACATGCCTTACGTTATATAATGTTACAGAGTGGCCCTCAATGATCATTGAGGTATGAGAGATTATTGAATCCTACACTGAATTTTCCTCTTCTAGTTTCACCTTCTAGTCTTAGCCTTATCTGCCACTTTTTTTTCACCCTTTGTGCTTCTTTCTATGGCACTTCTGCTTTCCTATTTGGCTGCAAGTTGAGAAAGCTACTTTCTTAAAATTGTGTCTAAAATAAACACTCACAGTCCTTAATGAGGATCCAAAGAGTCCTTCTGTAGGCAAAATACAAGTGCTTTCCATGAATGTGTAACTCATAAGTAGTGAAATTTTTAAAAATTGTTTTACCATGAATTAAGACAGGTCAAGTTGTTTGTTTGCCTGGGAAATATTTATGGAAGATTTTGGAAACAACCGTATTGGAAAGGGCATTTGAGTAATATTAAAGATAAGAGGAAGGGTTATTATCCTTCAGGCAGATAACAACCAACAAAGTCTTCTTTTTTCTCCCTCCTATATCAACAAAAATCGATAACACATTTGTAAATGAAGCAGCAAGATACTTACCTCCTATGATTTTATTTAGTAACAGTTGATAAATGAAATATCTGGGATTATTAAAAGAAAAATGAACTGTGTTTAGACAAACTATAAAACCTATTCAAAGGGGCATAAATCTGGAAACTTCCTAAAGGAGTGTGATTAACCTGATATCTATGTAGAAGGGACCAGGCCTGCTGGTACCAGTGAGGCACATGGAAATACATCATTCAGTTTGGTCAACAGATTAGTCACATTCAAAAATTATAATCAAGCTGAACAGGATGAGGCCTCAGGATCAGGTGTGGCCTTGGTGAGACAAAATTAATTGCTAATACTCTATATAATCATATACTTTTCATATATGAAAACTTAGTAAGCTATATATACTTTATTTTACATATGGGTGCAAGTTATCTCTAAGCAACCATTTTGTTTTCCATATAAGATCGCCAGTGTATGAGTTGGTGTATCCCTAGCTGGTGTAACAAATGGACCAGAAATATACAATTGCTTAACTAAAACAAACATTTAGATCTTGAACTACGTTCCTGTAAGCACTGGGGGTTCTTGATTAGGCAGCTGTCCCCCATGCGGTGATTCAGGGAGCCTAGTACCTTGCATTTTGTGGCGCTGCCTGCTCTTGAGGCCTCATCCTTTTTGTCCAAAGAGAACATGGACAGGGCACACAGCTACTTACAACACTTATTTCAGAAATAGGACACATCTCATCTCCTTGCACTCCAATGATTAGAAACAAGACATGTGGTTACTTCAAATGCAAGAGGTGCTGGGAAATGGCGTCTGTTGTGTACAAGTTAAAAAAGAGGAATTTGACAATCTCAGGTGTGTTATATATTAAATTACTACAGGAAGTATCCGTCATAGAGAACTATCAAACCAACAAGTTTGGTAGAAATTGTACCATTGTGTGGATAAAACAGCTATATTAATGAACACCTTAAAAAATGTGTATGCAATGTCTGATTACACTTTTGTCTATGAGTCAAACCCTAAACATGAACTTTAAGACAATGCCCTTGTTTTTTTTTACCATCATCTTTCTTTCCCTGGTGACTATTTTTTGGTTAAATTCTAAACGGGTGAATATGACAAGAGGCAAGTATAGACGAGATGTTCCTGGAGTGTTATATCTAATATCCAAACACCAAGCATGTATATTTCTGAGCTGAAACAATATTTGCATTCCTTTTCACTATTTACTTGTTAAATCTTAGATTATTAAAGGAGAGCTGTTAAATGTCTCCACACTAATATGTTTTGAAAATGATAAACAAAGCCCATTTATCAGCTTTGTCAATTTATCACTTTTTGAAGGTGACAAAAGCACTAATAAAGCAACAGTCAATATGTGATAAACTTTAGCTATGTGTATAAAAATTGTCTCCATAAGTCACTATCATTGCTTCATAGATGGGTAAGACACACATGTTGCCACCATTGTCTCTTTGACGGTCTTGGCTTAATCACTGCTCAACTGGACCTTGTAAGATTTGGAGGCCACAGGCAGAATCTCTTTAAAATATCTTCACTCTTAGAGTTTATAATATAGAATATTTTTAAGGGCAAAACTGTTTCATTATGAAATTTGCTTAATGCTAATGTAACACTATTTCTGGGTTGCAAGTGTTCAATATTCCAGTGAATTTGTGGATTAAATATGTACACACAAATATGTGTCTAATACATCTTTCCATATGTATATATATGTGTATAATACCACTGTCCATATGTATTATACATACATATGGACATACACATTATACATATGGACAGATGTACCTATATGCATCCATCTAGATATATATACACAAATTATGGAGACAACATATATATGGAGATGCACATACATATGGAGACAGTTGGTAGAGAGATAGAGACATAGAATCAATGCTCTTTAAAGGTTTTAAACAATGAATATGATCCCACTAGGTTAAACAATCAAGCATCAACCAAGCTGATTATAGAAGAAAAGTTAAGAATTTTATTTTTCTAAAATAGAACTGTGTTTTGTTTTAGACTTTGATATTTGCTATAAGCCTGACCTTGGATGAATTTTTAATCTTACTAATCTGTTTGT